AAAGTATATTGAGGACCCCCCTAATTAATTAAATTTATATAAAATAAAATATATTAATTTAAAAAATTTAAAAACTTTTGGAGGTGGTTTTTGACATCAGAAAGCAGCTTTAAATAACTTTACCGAAGGAAAATCTGTGCACTACAACTTAGGAACCATGAAATAAATTTGATAAAAAAACTCCCATTAAAAAACTCCCGTTAAAAAACAATTAAGCCTTAATCGAGCGTTATCGAAGGCTCATTAAAATTGCGATAAAATTTTTTCGCGCGGGCAAAAATTTTTGCAAAAATTTGGAGACTTAAAAAACATTGCAAAAATTGAAAAAAAAAATTTTGTCAAAAATGGCCTTAAGGACCATGTTTTTCGTAACGCTATGTAAACGTGACTAGTTATCTCGTCAATGGGCATTAAGGAGTTTTAACAAAACTGTTGTGTGCTTTTTTTATTCAAAATAACATAAAATATACAGATATGTGAAATGTGTATAAAAACTTTTGCATGTTTTTATTTAAATTCCCAGTAAATTATTTTTAATGTTTAAACTTACGGCCTTTTTGAGCTCTCTGAGTGGTAAAGGGCCTAAAACCACAGAAAAAAAAATTTAAATTTAAATACTTAATATAAATAATTTTTGCATTATTAATGTAAATAATTAGTGTTGTATTTACAAAGCCATAATTATTGAGTTCAGAAATTACTTTGATTCTAAATCATTGTCTTCAATGAAAATTTATTATTATTATTTTCACTTAGAATAATTTTTTCAACTTGCATTATTACTTTTTTAATTTTAAAAGTATATAAAGAGTGAAGTGAATTTTTGAAATTTTAATTTTGAAGGATTTCAGCTTCTCTAATTAATATTTTAAACTGCTGTTTTTTATTATTTTTTAAATTGCTTAAAAAGATTAAATTACATAAAAAAATGAAAATTTTGTTTTTTATTTTAATTTCAAATACATAGCATGTACTGTACCATACATAGGTTGATTGGAAAGTTTTGTCCTGTGCATCTTCTATTGATCATAGCAAAATGGGTCTTTTACCAATTGACAG